TAGGGAAAAGCAGCAAGGCCCAGCTGTGAGTCCTTATGTCAACTGCTGGTCCACCTAAGCATCGGGTGTGACGGTACACCCCACTGCCCAGGTCCTGGGGACACCGAGGCGGGGGAGGGCAGCACACACACACACACACAACATACAAAATCTGTAAAATAATCATAACAAGTAGCAAAACAGCAGCTGTAAATCCCGCCTTACCAATCACTGCCCGAATGCAGGTGAGTTAGGCACTCAAAGGTAGAACTGGCAAAATGGATGAAAAGGAAAAAAGGCACGATCCAACTCCTATGGCTACAGAAGCCACACTTTATACGCAAAGACACAAATAGGTTGAAAGTAAAAGGATGTGAAAAGACACGCCAAGTAAACATCTGCAGAAACACAGCTGGAGGCTCTTCTAACATTAAAGTAGACTCTCCGTCGGAAATCCTTACTGAAGACAGAGGACACCTTATGGTATTCAAAGGGTCAGTGCATTTCCAAGCTTTCACCATGATACATATACGTGTGTGTTTATGTATGTATTATACACACATATATGTTATATATATAGTTTCACCATAGGACATGTGCACTTGTGAGAGAGAGAGGGAAAGTGAGAGATCACCCCTCAAGGGAGGATGGCCACGCCACAATCCCCTCTCCTCCATTCTCCTCTCAGGATTTTGGGCACACGTGCACATGGGCCAGTGTTATTTTTTTTTCAGGCTGCCGGGTCTGCAACTTGAACTGTGCCGTCGGCCATGTGAGGTCGAGCACCTTAACCACCATGCCACCTGCTGGCCCAAGGATGATAAATGTATTCAAATCTAGGAATAAAGCCACCGAATCCAGGAATTAACCCTGACATATGGAAGGGAAAACCAGACCATTCGACAAGAACAGGTGCACACGTCTATACCCCACTTCCAACAGCAGACCTAGACAGAGGCCGAGCAAGCAGCAGGAGAGGTGGGTACCAGCATAACCCGACTCGACCTAGCGGCGCCCTGAACACCCACCCACAGCAGCAGAGTCGCGTCTCTATCACACCTGGAACTCCGGCCTGCTGGGGCCACGTAACCCAGGGACATTGAGGGCCACACAAAGCGGGTGGCCTCCTGGCCCCGCAGTGGCCTCCTCCTCCCTCCACAGAGTCTCCCGCTGTACCCTAGACCCAGCTCAGCCACCACCGCTGCAAAACCTTCCTAACCTGCTCCCAGGAAGAAGCAGGGCTTCGTCAAACCCTCTCAGCACTGGGCTGTGTGGCATCACTCCCCTTCTGACTTCAAGCCCGATGTCCTCAGGTGGCTTCATCTGGGAAGACCTACAACAGGCTAGGTGCTGGGGTGAGAGCAAACGCACGACCGCCTTCCCTCAAGAGGTCACGGGGTCTCAGGGGGGACAGAAATAGGAAGAGAACCACTGGTCTTTAAAGAGAGTAGACGTTTATCACAGAGAAGGCCAATGGGGAGGGCGGGGGACGGAGAACGTGAGCAGAGGGACCGTCCAGAGGCCAGGCGTGGCGCTGGTTCTGAGTGCAGACGGGCTCTACCCGAGGGCCTATCCTTACCCCACTGGGGCCCGGCGCCCAGCCACCTCCGCCCACCTGCACTCACGCCTGGCAAGCCTCTCTGTTCCCGCCCTGTGGGGCAGCCCGGCTGAGCCTGCCCTGAGCTCAGCATGAGGCCCCTTCTAGCGCCCCAGGTCCGAGAGGAGCATGGCGCGCCGTGCCAAGAGCGTGACGGGACTCGTCTGGTTAGCGGTCACTGTAGCTTTATGCTGGACTTGCCGGCAGCACCGTGGCCAGGGGTGACTGGCTCTCGCGCCACCCAGCCCAAGCCTCTCCAGACAGACGACACCCCACGGGGCAGGACGGGGGCTGAGGCCGGTGGGCCCTGGAGAGGGACGCAGTCCCCTGGGTGCGGAGCCTGTCCCGGGGCTCAGGCAGACTCACCGCAGGTGTAGACTTACCTTCACGGCGGTCACGTGGTCATTCCTTGTGGTTCTGTCAGAGGTAAGGTCTCCAGGATGCCGGAGGGCCAGGGCCGCGCACCTACCTCTCGGGACCTGCTCGGGTCCCAGGCAGGGAGGGGACCCTGTGGGAGACAAGCACTGGCTACCGTCGGAACTGCCCGGCACCAGGCGCTCAGCCTCGCCCTCTTCCGGGAGCCCGGGCCCGCGGGATGAGCGCAAGCGCCCCCGGAACGTGCCAGGAGCGCCACCTAGGGGCCACGGCGGAGCTGCGGCGCGCGCATGGCGCTGGACAGGCGCTGGGGCGAGGCCCGCGGTGGCCGGGGCGGCTGGTGGGAAGGATGGGATGGGGCTTCCTAAAGGACGCGCGGGCAGCAGAGCGCAGGACTACGTAGGGGCACGGGGCCCAGCGCCCACGTCTAGCCCTCACCGCAAGCTGCAGGAAGCAGGGCAGGACACCCCTGTTGAGGTGCTCTGTGGGGACCTGGGACACTGGGAGGCCCCTCACAGGGTGAAGGCCGGGAAGGGGAGGCAGCCCTGGAGCAGGCCGCCTGGGTGATGGCCAGCACCATGAATGGCAGCGCTGCAGGGAAGGCCGGCTCAGGGCTGGTGCGTGTCCCCGTGCGCTCCCCGGGGGTCAAGCCTGGCCTGCCCACTGTGGGGGGCTGCACTCTGCTGGCAGCTGGCACTCCGACCTCGGGGCAGCCGCAGAGGGGGTGGGGACGGGGCAGGGACAGGAGTTGTGGCTGATGCAGGTAGACGGTCAGAGGACCTCTTGAGGCCTCTTGGCTGCCCCCCTCCCCTTTAACTCATGGCTTTAGAGCTGCGAGGAAAACAGCAAAGCCATGTCATTGGGTGCCCAAAGCTTTTTTTTTTTTTAAACACACTTTATTTGTTGTAACTTTCAGGTCGCCAGGCCTGACTTGAACCACGGTCGGCCATGTGGGAGTCAGCACCTCAACCACCACACCACCTGCCAGCCCCCAAAAGCTGTTTTTTAAGGAGAAGAACTCTTTGACCAGACCAGTGTTTGATTGGATTAAAAAGTGTATTGGATTTCCAATACTAAATAAAAACACAAAATTGTCTTTAAAAAGCCATAGAGTTTACAGCATCGACTACAGAAAAGGCCAAACGAGTGTGTACAGAGCCAGTCCCCACAGCCCCGGCCCCCGTGGCGGGCGGCCAGGCCACAGGCCTGACTGTCCTGAACCTCCCGGAGGGGGAAGCGGAGGCTTGACTAGATGCACAAGACACACAATGGTTTAGTTTCAAAAATCACAGGAAAATGTAAGAAAATGTATTAAACTGTGAAAAGGTGCAGTACAGAATAGCTTTCCTTTTTTGTTAATTTTTTAAAAACCCCCCAACTTTGAACAGTCGTTTTATTTAAAAATAGCCCTCCCCGCCCCTGCCGCCCAGTTCTGCGGCGTGCCCAGGTGGCAAGGCCCCTGAGATTACACAAGTGACAGGTCATGGGAGGGAACACCCCGTACCGAGCATGCTCTTTGGGCGCGCTGGCCCCCCTGGGGGTCAGTGTGCCCTGGCGGCCCTTGAGGGTAAGGTGAAATCAGCGGGTTCCCAGAGCCCTGCCTGGTGCCCTGGGACCGGCTCGGCTGGCGAGGCTCAGGAATCGGCATTGCACTCCCAGCTCCCCTGGTAGCAAAGGCAGCAAAGCTCATCTTGTAGAAAAGCAAACGTGTGGCTAAGACCTAAAAGGGGAGCGAGCCCACGTTCGAAGGCAGGTGGCCTATGGCTGCTTGGGGCCCAGGCAGGCGCTGGGTGCCTGCTGGTGGTCTCAGCAGCTGAGCTCTCCCTGGCTAAAGCAGCAAAGCCCACTGCTGTCTACACTTCCGTCTTCACTGATCTGGGGAGGTGGGGAGATGCCTGACGGTCAGTCCTGAAGGTTCCTTTCTATACTCTCAATTAAAAAAAAAAAAAAGGCCCACACATGCAAGAAATATTGGCAAAACAGAGGCTTCGGGCTCTGGCTGAGCTCCTTGGCACACGTTAGAGCCCCAGCTGCCTCTCTGTAACCAGGGCCTAGCTAGCGGCTGGGGCGGAGGAGAGACACGGCTCCTGTTCCCCAGCTGTCCTTCCCGTTAGGAAGCCACAGAGGAAGTGACCAGGTGCTGCAGCTGCCCCACCCATTTCTGATGGCACTATTTCCACAGGGCGCTGACACAGGGAAAGGAGAGCCGGGAGGGCTGAGGACCCAGCTGGGGAGGAATGGGAGACGCGACTCCCACCTCCCCAAAGGGTGGCAGCAGGAAGGGGCCCAGCCTTGGCTTTCTGAGCTCCAGCAGCAGGGCCAGGCCCCTGCCCAGGTCTGCCCACTGCTGCCCTCGGCAAAACAGCACCGGGGCCCTCGCTCATCGCTCAGACTTCTCAGGACACGCCCATGCCCTCGGGCAGCCCGATCTGGACCACACCTGCTGCACAGCACAATTTTTAACCCAGATCCAAAGGAAACTCCAGTTGCAATGTTGTGACAAGAAAGAGAGACATGCCAGGAAAGGACAATGAAGAGGATGCTTCCATTCTCTGTGGCTTCTGGAAGAAAGTACAGTGACCGAGACTTTCACAGGACCTCGGCGGCCCCTTGGCTCCCGACCCCGGCCCCCCACCCGATACCAAAACTGCACGAAAGCAATGAACAACTTGAGCAATGAACATTTCATTCAGCTCTGTAATCTCACAGTGATGAGGGGAGAGAGGCAGGCCTTTAATAATTATAATAAAAAAATAATAAAAAAGCTTACAAACAGCAATGCAACGTTCCCCCGCCTCAGAGTGAGGACCTAACACTGGAGAGGATGCGATGACTCTGGATTCAAAAATGAACACAAAACCAAAAACAAGCCAGACCCAGGAGCGGTTCTTTTTTTCGGTTCACTCCGTCGACAACTCTCCACGTGGCCAGGACGAGCAGTGTCAACCACGTGCAAGACCACCGCGGTCTCCCTCGTTGAGTGTTTTGTTTCGAAGGTAAAATAAAGTGGGACGCAAGTGAGACCTTACGTAAATGCCAGTGTCTACACTCCGTGAAGGTGACGCAGCGGCAGCGCGCACAGCCTGGCGTGACGGGAAATGCACGCAACACTCCTCGCCTGTTCCCTGGACACGGAATTTGGCCCACGGTGCCCAGTCCTGCAGGTGTCGCAGGCAGGGAGCAGCCTCGGCAGGGCCTCTCCCTGCGCCGGGGCCCCCCCAGGTGCCGGCGTGCCCCACGTCCTCAAGGGCTGTCCCCTCGTCCTCTGTACAACTCCTTGCTTGCAAGGCTAAGTTCCAAGACTTGCGGACCCGAGTGGGGAGCTTGTGTCCCGCTGAGGGCGTCATGCGGTCGTGATGGCGTTCAGGTCCTTCATGAGTCCTTCCAGGTGGGCCATCTCTTTGGTCAGCTCATCTGGCTCATAGCTCTGTGGGGCAGAGGGCGCTGTCATTAGCGGGCTCTGAGATGCAGACGTCAGGCAGTGGTCAGTGCCCCTCTGCCCTAAAGACTGATAACAGGAGCCAGAGGCAGCAGCACAGGCCCGGGTCTCCAAGACCCCCTCTCATGACACCCATGACCCCTTTGTGCCTACACTCACTCCCCACACCACAAAGACCTCGCAGGCCAGAGGCACTCTAGGCCAGCACACCACGACGTCCCTGGGTCCCTGGAGGACCCTGCTCTGGAAATGCATAGGCCAAACACCTTCGCTGGCATCCGACAGCGAGAGACCAAGGGCAGACCTGACTTGTGCTTTGAGAGCAGCCACCCCAAGCACCTCGTCTAGCACCCTACCCAGAGAGGGCCATGCGGTAGAACTGAGGCCAGAGGGTCATCCTGGGAAGCAGTACCAGGCAGAAGGGACAGGACAGACGGCGGGCAGGTGTGAGCAAGCGGCGGGCCACCAGCCAGACTGGTGTGATGGGCTCGTTGCAGGCACAGCAGGGGGATGAGAGCGAAAGCAGGCCATGGGGTGGGAGAGCCTGCACTGACATGTCTGCTGGTGACCGAGGGACTCTGCTGCCCAGGCTGTGCCTGACGGCACCATGGGCTCGGCCGGCACAGGCTCAGCCCTGGGCTACACTCCTCCACACGCTGGCTGGGCTGCCGGCCCGGGGACTTACACTCTCGGAGTCCTCCAGCATCCTCGTGGTCTCCTGCACTTCGGGGGCGCTGGGCACGACCACTGGCACAGGAGGCCGGCTCCTTCCCAAGGTGCCGATGGAGGCGGTCTTCACCGAGTGGATGTGATGGTTCAGGGCTGGGGAGAAAGGGTACCATCAGGGGTGGCCACACCCACACCCAGACTTCAGGAAGGCACCTCACGAAGGTCCACGATGCTCCAGGGGGAGGGGTGCGCGCATAGCCAGCGCAGGGATTCCTCTCAGAAAACGGACAGAGGGAGAGGGCAGGGCCTGCACGAGGCCAGAGGAAACATTCCGTGGGCTTTAAAAGTGAACACACAGGTCAGTCAGTCGTGTGGTGGTTGAGGTGGGTAGATCGCACATGGCTGACTGTGTGGTTCGAGTCCTGGTCCCGGCAGATTGAGAAACATGCTGGACCGGTGTGTGTGTGAGAGGGAAGGTGAGCCCCAAACCCCAAGGGGAGAAATGGAGAAGGGACTATGGTCTGACTATTCCCTATGGGGGGTGCTTTCTCACTTTCCCTCTCTGTCTCTCTCTGGGAAAGCTTTATAAAACAGAAACCAAACACCTAGCCCGAGGTTTCTGAGTGTGAGTGTGGCAGTCCATCCAGGCAAGAAGTGTGGGAGGTCAAGTCTCTCACAGTAAACGACAGGATCCGCCCTTCCCCACGGTGGCCGTGCACTGAGGGTGCGGAGGTGACAGTGGGTGACAGCGATGCAGCCTCAGCAGTCAGGGGAGTCGGGCCGCCCCCCAACACGCACTCAAGTTAAAAAAAAAAAAAAAAGCCTCTTTCACCGAGACCACCCTAATGCAGTAGTGAAAACGGTCCACTTGATTAAATCTTGACCCTGCCGTCAGGGTCCGGATTGGACAGCATGGCGGGAGGGAGGGCACCTACAGGACTTCCACACGCCACGTGTGAAGGCTGTCTTTGTTTTGGTTTTTCATTTGCCAGAGGGCACGTGTGCTGGTGGGAGAGTGTGTGAGCGTGCGTGCACCCTCACAGGGAACAGTCACGCCGCAACCCCTCCTCCACTTCACCCCAGCTAGGGTTTTGGGGACACACATGATGTGCCCAGCATGTTTTCGAGTTGCGGGGTCTGGGGCTTGAACTGTGCAGTTGTCTGCATGAGGTCCACATCCCTTAGCCACCAGCCCACGGGCTGGCCTCACAACTGTTCTTAATAAGGGCAGCTGTGGAAACTTTGTCTGTCCCCATAAGCTTGATGGCTTCTCAATACTTCCGTATGCCGGCGACAGGAGTGAACGTGTTTTTAGACACAGAATAATAAATCTATCAAATCTGCAGGATTTGCATAACTTAGTGAGCCAGCGTTTCATAGAAGGCCACGTGTGACGTTTCAGTATCACACGTTCGGAAGGCGAGAGGCCAGCAGGCTGCAGTGAACAGAGGACAGGCCGTCCACAGCGGCGGCTTCGGAGTCCGTGCCACACACCAGCCGTGGGGAGCTTCAGCTTGTTGAGTTCTGCTGTAGTATCAGAAGGAATATCCACGATTATCTGAAGAGGGCTACACAACACTCTTCCTTTCTCTAAATGCACTAGCTGTGAGGCCAGGTTTTCTCCTTACATTTCAACCAAAACAACATATTGCACCGGACTGAATGCAGAAGCTGAGGAAGCTGCAGCTGTCTCCTCTCAAGCCAGACACTACTGGGTCTGCAAACATATGACACTCTTCTACTATTATTTTAAAGATCCTCCCCCCCATAGGGTGCATGCACCTACCACAGAGAGACACAGAGAGACGGTGAGAGGGACAGTGAGAAATCACCACCCAGGGGAATGGCCACTGGAATCCCTTCTCCATTCTCCTCCTGGGATTTTGGGCACACATGCACTTGGGCCCGTGTGATTTTTTTTTTTTTTTGGAGAGGTTTTTGCTATAGGGTGTGTGCACTTGCCAGACAGACAGAGAGAGAGAGACAGAGAGACAGAAAGCGAGAAATCACCCCCCAGGGGGGATGGCCTCGCAGCAATCCCTTCTCCTCCATTCTCCTCTTGGGATCTTGGGCATGCACACACAAGTGCCCAGTTTGAGTTTTAAGCCACTGGATCCGGGGTTCGAACCGCAGTCGACTACATGGAAGTTCAGCAACATAGCCATTACGCTAATTGCTGGTCCTGAGCCCAGTGTGATTTTCAAGCCTCCAGGTCCTGGGCTTGAATCATGGTCGGCCATGTGGGGGCCCCTTACTACTATTTTTGCTTTGGGAAATACTATTCATGAAAGTATCCTATTTTATTTATTTGCAAAAAAGCATCCTATTTATCAACTTAGACTATGTAATGAAGATAGGTTTACTGCTCTTTTAAAATTAATTATTAAAATACTTAGTATCTCAGTTTTAATTTCTAAAATAGTAAACACTGATAAAAAGTTATTTTGTATCCATAGCTTTAATGATATAAGGGAGTCCCGAGGTGAAAAAGCTAGAAAAATCACTGACTTATTCTCAAGCCATGAGAAAGGGTAACAATGTGGAAGAGGTGGTCAGGGGACCATGGCTAAGCTATGTGACCTTGGGCAAGTGACACCCCTTACCCTGAGGGTCCTTCTGGCTTCACTCAGAGCTCAGAACTCACGGGTACTGGAGGCACTGGAGGCAAGGCCAGCTGCCTGGGACCCAGGATGAGTGGGCAGCCCCGACTCCCAGCACAGGCTCCCGCCCATGCTGGGAACCCCACACACTAAATCGCCTTGTTGTGCCCACACTGCCCATGCCCATCCCGGGTGGCAGCAGCTCTGTGGCCTGGGAAGTCCACGGCTCACCTCCCTGGCCCTGGTCTAACTTATGGGAGGTTGCGTGGAGTGAGGTGAGTCCAGGGCACCGGGCAGATCAGACCTGCTGCCCACACTCAGGCCACCAATGTCCCTTCCAAAGTTCTGCCTGGCAGACATGTCCGAAGGCCAGCCCTGCTGCAGCCACTCCCCGGTGCGTGCATTTCCAAAGGAGGGAGCCCACATCCTCCACACTGCCAGGCTATGCTTGGAGGACACTTGCTTTGATACTCTTCCAAGGAGGGTGGCCCTGCCCCAAGCCTGCACCCTCCAGTGCACTGGCTGTCCCTACCCACCTTGCTGGGACAGTAACGGTGTGCTTGGCAATGCAGGATCATAGGTGGGTGGCCCAGGGGGCGGGATGGCCGGCACGGCGAAGCTCTTCAACGGGTGCGAAGGGCGGACATGGGCGGTGGGGAGGCTCTGGCCGGGGTCTTCCTCTTGGGAGCTGGCCAGGTATGAGGAGCTGGTAGCACCTTCGGGATCCTGATGGTCTGTACAGCACGTCTGGGACGAGGAAGCTGGCATGGTGTCCGTGCTGGGGGTGTTGCGAACAGACTCTGCGGCAGAACACCCTCAACGTTAGTGACTCCCTCGCCATCAAACATGGGCCCCTCCCGGGGTGTGGCCACCTCTGGGGCCCCCAGAGCCAGGTCGGTCCGCACATGGGGTCAGTGCTAGCCCAGGGGAACGTGACTTAGCCCACTTCCACAGCTGGGGGGACTCAGCTGAAAAGCACCCCGAACAGTTCTGTCCTCAACCAGCTGTCCAGTTCCACTCACTAATGTGATAGCCCTAGAGACCGGTCTTTTACAGACAGCCAGGATGAGTCACCAAGCCTGGCGGGAGAGGCCCAGACCCCCCAGGGCCATGTGTGCCTGAGCTGTCGAGTCGGCTCCCGGCCCTAAGATCAGGCCAAGTAAAAGATGCTTTGGTCCAGACGGAGAAACGGGCAGGTCGGCCTGGGGAAGGGAAGCCTCGGGAAGGTCATGGCCATGCTCTTGAATGGTGAGGAGGGGCAGGGCTGTCTACAGGTCGAGTGGCGGGCAGGAAAGCCGGGCGGGGAGCCGCAGACCAGGATGTAATCTCGGCCTGTGAGCTGGGTGAGTTGGCAAAGTCACCGGCTCTGTGCCTCAGTTTCCCCATCTACAGTCGGAGCGAGCACAGACTTGCCGCAGCTGAAACGGACGTCTGAGAAGCACTGAGCCCGGCACCCGAATCATCGACGGGCTCTGACTTTGTCAGCTGCTGAGCACTTCCCTTCCATCAGCTAGCCCCGGCCTTATGGTGATGGCAGGCTCAGTGCTGGAGGCGAGGTCGATGGCCCAGGGACACAGGGCCAGCAGGTCTCTGCACGCTGACTCTAATCTGGGCCTGAAGCCCAGCACACTGGGCACTGTGCAATGCCCACATGCCCCCTCTGCCCAGGGCAGACTAAGCTTGGGGCCGAGGAGGATGTGAGGGAGGGCCTTCCCAGCACGTGTGCAGTGCAGCCCCATCCTGCCCCAGGAGAGGCCTGGGTATACTGCATCCCCATGAAGGTGCTCCCTGCAGCGCGGTGAGCCCACCGGCCTTCTCAAAAACTAGGCTATGACTGAGCTGTCTGCCTTGCTGGGAGCCTCCTTCCGGACCGACTAGCCACCCCAAGGTCAGCTGAGTGTCCAGACAGGGCTGTGTGCCACTCTGGGCTCTGGACAGGCCAGGCTGGAGGGCACGGCAGAGAGTTTGGTCACTGCCAGACCAAGCGTGTGTGGTGCTTCAGGAAAAGCTAGCTGGAGAAGACGTGGGTTGTCCCTCCCTACAGGCAGGACCCGAGCCTGGATTCTGAGGGAGACCATGTGTGGATGTCACCCAGTGTGTTCTCCACGCCAGGCAAAGTGCTGGGGTGGGTCACACTGGGTCCCCAGCAGCCTAACAGGCTGTGATTTTTGTCTGAGCCTTGGGCACAGTTACGATCCACCAGAATGGGAGGGCACCGCTCCTGGGAACCCAGCCTATGGCATGAAGTTCTGATGTTCTCCTATCAAACCCTTACAGCTGTTCGATAGCGCGGCTCCATGTTTCCAGACTGCAGCTGGTTTACCCGGAAAGCCTGTCTTCAAGCACACGGCAGGTTGCTGTGTGAGTTTCCAAGGTATTCTAGAGATCACCTATCCCTGTGCACCTGCTCCTAATTTCAGTAACCTACCGGGCGACCTGGGGTTTCCGCTGTGCACACACTCAGCAGTCACGTGGCCACGGCCTTGCTGCCGCCGGGCAGTGCTCTTGCTGTGGGCCCCTGACCTGCTCCCATGGCCTCCTACAGACCTCCCCAGTGGTAGGGTGACCACGAGACAAAGGTAACCCCTCGTGTCTGAAAATCACCCACTGTCAGCATTCCTTTCCAACTGGAGGGTTTAAAAAAAATTGGAAAAAAAAAAATGACTGAATGAAGATAGGAGTTTATGGAACAAGAGATGCTTTCCTGGTTAGGAGTTACTGCTATCCTCACGGCAATGACACTTGGCACCGCACACGTCAAAGTTAGGGAGAGACATGGGATGACTCTCGCACAAACGCATCCAGGCAGTCCCAGCGCGGCCCAGCAAGTGACAGTGACGGAAGCTGCGCGCCCTCTTCAGCACGGCAGGTCCGTCACCCACCGGCGCTCGCCCACGCTCTGGGGTGGGTGCCACCTGGGCTCGATGCTCATCTCTCACCTGTGGAATTGGCCCTGTCTGAAAGGGACATGGCAGTGCCAGCGGGCCATGGGCTGCCCGGGTGGTAGAGGTGACTGCGAGCCGGAGAGGCGAGGCTGCTGGAGTGGAAATGATGGTGAGGGTTATCGAGGGGATGGATGGGATGGGCACTAATCACGGCTGCGAATGAACACAAGACAGAGAGATGCTTAACATGCGGCACGCACACGCCACCCGCTCGCCGGCCGCCCGCCCTGCCCGCCCCGAGCCCCACCGCTCCCCGGGCGTGCTGTGGAGCTGGCTGGATCCGGACAGTCAGCCCCCGGCGTAACATTCGTCTTAGACACGAGCACACTCCTCCGTACGTGTCTATATATGCACACGCTTAAAAGCCCGGGGAGTACATGCTAACAGGTGACACTCATTATCTGGCAGGCTTCAGACATTTTCATCTATGTTTTCTGACTCTATTATAAACACGGACCAAGTGAGTTATTAAAATGTCTGTCTGAATACATCACAAAATAACAGTGCGCAAGCAGACAAATAGGCTGTTTCTGTTATGCCTTGTCCTGTAGAGCGTTAGAAGTCCCTCCTCCTTTGAGTATGTTCCTAATTCCTTCCACCTCCCCCTAATTGCTGGATGCGATGCATGAGGAGTATTGAGGCCAAATTCAAGAGTAGCTAGCTACTTGTCATTCCCATGTCTTGAAAGGAATGCGAATAAAACCGAACTGTGAAGGTCCGGTCTTCGACGACTGAGCATGAGCCGGAGGACCATGGCACCCTGACTCCAGCCTGGGGCCTCCACCACAGGCCTCACTTAAAAAGGCAAATCTTCCCTAATTTCCTCTTCCTCCCCCACTGGCTAAGGGTTCCTCTCCCTGTGCTTAGCTCAAGAATGCAAATTGATGTACAGATTCCACTTACAACTTTAAGACAATGCACCCATTTAATGAGGCTTCATATCTATGTCAGTCGGAAAGAAATAAAACCAGAACGCTGAGAATAAACTTTCCTTAGGTTTCCTCTCAGAGCAGTTATAGAAACAGAATATTTAAGATCAAGAGACCCAGCCCTGACCTCCCCAGGTAGACAAAAAGGCAGGTCGACTAGAAAAACCGGGAGCACTGTCTTCTCCAACCAAGGGCTTCACCCACTTTACGGAGAAACTTCATTAGCCCTTTGGCGACCACCACAGTGTCTTCTGTCACCAGGGGCCTCCCTAGCTCTTCACGGGGCAGCCAACACTCCTGGCAGGAGAAACTCCAGCCAATGACATGGATGTCTTCATCCTCGGCTCCCGCTCATCCTGGTCACATGCAGTCAGGCAGGCACATGGCCGCCGGGACCCTGCAGTATGGCTGGCCTGCCCTCCCCAGCACAATGCTAAGAGAATGCCAGTGGTAGGACTGCTCTTTTCCCTCAGCGCATTTAGAAGTGGTAAATCTCAACAGAGACAGAGCAACAGAACAGGGGCTTCCCCTCATTTCTGCTTGCCAGGAGGTCCTCGGGAATAACCCCACCTCGAAGCCAGCTGAGACAGGTCCTTGGGGCAGCTGGGGAGTCGGCATTTTTGCTAGAGGAAGATGGGGGGTTGTCAGAATGGGTGCTTTAGATTCAGGCTGGGGCAAGGGGCCAAACTTGAGTTTCTTAGGAAGCACAATTGGAACATTCTAAGAATAGAAGGCTTTCGCAAAAGAAAAACAAAATGGACTTTTCTCCTTTATGAGGCATGTCCAGTCTTTCCAAATAAGAACATTAAAACAAAAACAAAACACCCAAAAGCATGAACATCCTGCCAGAGCAGAGCAGGCTGTTGGCTGAATCCAGACTCGGCGCTTCCCCACCTGGCCTGCGGGGACATGGTCCTGATGCTGACAAGGTCCTCCCAGCACCGCTCAGCCACCTGCACTGGGGAGGTGGATTGGGGGAACAAGGCTCTAGCTTCATCCTGGCGCCCCACCCTTGAAAACGACTGCAGCCACGTGGGCTTGAAAGGGTACTCTGCGCCCGGAAGCCCGTGTGTCTACCTGGCTACCTGGTTTCAGATTCGTGAGTGGAAAGAGCCACCCGGCTGCACACAGCTCACGCTACCACCCCCACTGCCAAGGAGAGTGCTGTCACCTGACACCACACATTCCTAAGGGACATACCCAGGAACAGGCAGGTGTGACAAGTTTTAAACGTAAGCCAGTCCAGGTGAAAACTGAAGTCTTGCACAAAGCCACGATGGCCAAGCTATCACCCTCTCAAAAATCAGAACCCAGCGAACAGGTTATTTTGTTCTTTCTAGGCATTTGTCCTTCAATCCGGGGTTCCCTCCAGAGCACCTCTTACAAGAGGGAACGCGTGGCCGGTCCCTGCATGCTGCCACGCCCAGGCCTTTCTGTCCATCACAGGCCCCGGGAGTAAACTGGTCTGTGCAGAAAGGACCTGTCGGCGGAGAAGGCGTTTCTCTTCCGAAGCTGATGTCTATCATCTCGTGCCTCTCCTGTCTCTGCACTGTGCGTGTGAGAGAGAACACGGAGGTGCGTGTACAGACATCCACAGGCACACAGGTGCCCCGGAGGCGGGCTGAGGGGATCGTGCCAAGGCAGGTTGCCATGGCCCACGCAGGGTGCCCGGGGCTCCACCAACCTTGTCATCTGGTGATGGCAACGGGGCCCAGAGCTCCCTCGGCCCGGAGCCCCCCGTACCAGCTAGTCTGAAAGGGTTCTGTCTCAAAAACCATGACAAGGGAGTAGATGAGCCCATTTGAAAAGAGCTAGTTTGTCCCTCTGCCTTTGGCTTTTAATCATGATACTGATTTATTTTCCGTTTTAACTACTACGGAAAGAGGCTTAGCAGCGCTTACACTTATCAAGGTGAAGCCTGGACGCAATGTCCTGAGGCTGAAATAGGCTGAAGGGACCAGTTGGTGGCGCAGTGGTAAATGTGGCGCACTGCAGGGCTGACGCACACAGGCAAGCTCCAGGCTGACACCCAGAGACCTCCCTGAGTTTGCTGGGCACACTTGTGCCCGTGAAGTGGGGCCGGTCGAAGTTGGGAGTGGGCGTGGCATGAGTGCCTGTGGCAGGTGTGTGCTCTCACTGCCTGTCACTCACGGAGGCAATAAATAAACTAAAAAAAAAAAAGCTTAAAAATTAAGTAAGGTTGAAAAATGTACTTTCTACTGTAAAGCTACTGTAAAATACAAGGTCTGCTAACTACGACCCCCATGGTGCCAGTCAGCACTGGGTGTGTCAGGAAGCCCAGGGACCACCTAGGGACGCCTGAGACACGCAGCTGTCCAGCCCGTCTCGAGGACTGCGGCCCCTTCTCTCCTGCAGGGCTGGGTGTTTTGAGGAGACCAGATACGTTGGTGCTCCGGGGAGACTGCAGAAACGGGCTTTTCAGCTTATCTACCCTAGACGCGAAGATGCTAGGACTTGAGAACATTATTTGCTGCACAGTACGTCAACAGTTTGACCCTTCTTCCCTTGAGATGTCACGACTGGCAGGTTATCTCGGGGACAGGACCAAGAGACATCAAAGAGGTTGCTGCTACTTGTCCCGGCGTGACCGGGCATGCAGGCAGCCCTGGGGAAAGAGAAGCTTCCACTCACGTTGGGGCGGCTGGGAGTCGAAGGGCATCATCATTTTTGGTCTCCTTCCCCGCCTTCCA